ATCCTCTTTCCTCAGCCTCCCAAGTGCTGGGATTATAGGGGTGTGCCTCTACAACTTGTATCTTCCTTTTCTAAAAAAACAAAACAAAAAAAAAACCCAAAAAAACTTTCTGATGGTAGTAAGACACAGTAAGAGGGGATTAGGTTTGGCAGTTTGTACACCAGGGTACTAACTGCAGCTTTTCTTCAACCCTGACCTTCAGTAAGTCTTTTAACTTGTGGGCTTCAGCCTTATTAATTGCAAATAAGTAAAGATAGGACTAATGCCCAAATTTCATTCAGTTTTAAAATGCTGACTAAGGGGCAATGCACTGGATTCCCCTTCCGTCCTTCTCTTGGACAGAAGCTTTCTTTACCCTAATAAATATATTCTGCTCTGTAAAAAAACCCCAAACAAACCTGATTTGATTACTTCATTCTATTTTGTTCCCAAACTGCTTGGAACAGAACCGTTTTGCATTGTTCTTGTACCGATTTTTTTCTTGCTTTCATTAAAGTTCCCTCAAGCCTGATTGTCCAGGATTGAGCTTTGTTTGGCCTGTTCTGCTAGTATAGTAAACTGCTCTCTGATAGGGGAAGTAAGAGGGAGAGGAGCTGACCAGTTGCCTAGGAACCAAGCTTGATATCTAAATAGAAATGGGTGCCAAAGTCTGAAAGTCACCCAACCTGTGGAGTAGAGAGCTCATAAATTGAACTTCTAAAAGAAAACTAGTGACATGGAAAGCCCAGGGGCTGTATGAAAGAGTGGGTTGGCAAGGTCTACCTTGTTACCACTCAAATACCGTAACCTTCTACCCCCGGTAGTTGAGCCCCTGAACCTGTGAGGGACTTCAGAGTCAGACGCTGTCTTTTTCCTTTTCATATTTTCTTCTCTGAGGAAGACCTGGAAGGGAGGAGGGCATGTAGGATATACTCCTCTGACTACAGAAAAGACAGTTCATGTTTGGAGACTTTCACCTTACTGTCATCTGGATTTTTGCAGTTGGGTGTGTTAGGGTGAGGGCCAGGGTGGGCGGGCAACTTCTGGTATTGGCCCAGTGGGTGGAAACCTGCTCCTTTCACTTGAGGGCTACATCTGGCTGCAGATGCAGAGGTGAAGCACAGAATGGAGCGCAGCAGCTGCACAGGGTACAGACCTGTCTGACTGTCTAACTTTCTCAGCTCCTAACAGCTCTTCCCCCAATGAAATTATTCAAACTTAAACTCTAAGACCAAAATTAAAAACAAGATGTTGATCTCTGGCTGTGGGGCCCAACCCCTCCTGAACACTGATGTCTGTCAGGTCCTCTGATAAAATCTGTTTGGGTTGGGACTCTCACCAACTGCCTACTTTTCCAATAACTGAATGTAGGGTTAGCTTTCTCTTAAAAAATAACAGCTTAACTAATTAAACATGACAATGGGAATTATTTAAAATGTATAAGCCTGGGTTTTAGGGTCTCAGACTATTCTTGGTTACTTTTCTCGTTGCTGAGACAAAATACCTGATGCCCAAAATTAAGGAAGGTAGGGCTGGCGAGATAGCTCAGTGGACTAAGTTCCTGCTTAGGCAAGTGCAGGGACTGGGGTTCTTTCCCCAGTACCACACACTGCGCTGGCCCTGCCCCTAGTCCGGGTGTGTTGGCCTATGCCTGTGACAGCAGTGCTGGGGAGGCTGAAAACAGGAGCACTAGGAGACCAAGCTGCATAGTGAGACCCTGTGCCAAATACATAAAAAGAAAATGAAAGGTTTATTTAGCTTACAGTTTGTGGAGGTTTAGTCCACACTTGGCTGGCTCCAAGGCAGAATGGCATATAGCATAGAAGCAGCTCATGGTGGTGGAAAAACAGCAAAAGCAACAAGAGCAAAAAGGAACAGCAGCAGAGAGCAAGCCTCTGTCCCTCCCATATATTAAATGCAGGCTTCCTGCCCCTGTGTGGGTGTAGCACACTGTTAATCCTGCCCCTGGGTGGGTGTAGCACTCACACTGATAATCCCAGCATTGGGCCTTGAGTCTATCAAAAACTTTAGAAGCCCGTGCCCATGACTACATGAGGCTGGGGGGGGGGGCATCTAGACATAAACCACAACCGAAATAGTGCAGTCAGCTATTGTGAAAGCATGACCATGCAGGAGATTGAATCTACACCATA